CAACGATATTTCAAAAGGGAAGGAATTCTCTGGCGATAAGACGGAACAGAAGTTGGCTGAGAGTGTTTCATTCGAGTTGTTATCAGTTTGGAGGCGTGAAGTTGGTTGGACCTGACACCGAGATGGCGATATTCACGTGCCGTATTAATGTACGGAATATAATAAAGTTTTCTTTAAAGTACGCTTACACGTTGGCACTAATATAAAGACGTTATACTGACCTCACTTTGAAAATAAATTTTTGAGATGGATGGATGGGTGGTTAGATGTTTGTTTAAACGTATCTCCAGAAAGACTGTATGGATCTTGCTCAATTTTGGCATAGATGTAGAACATAGCCTGTAAGAGCACATAGGCTACTAATTAGCTTTTTTTAATTCCGCGCAGACGGATTCACGGGTGACAGCTAGTAGTTAATAACATAAGAAATATGCTAACAACAAGGTAGCATTATAAACCTCTTTCCCCAGGCATATGTCGGTACTCAACTCAAATTCTGCAAACGTTTGCTCACTCAAGATGACATATGTCAAAGATATAAGATGTGCCTTTGACAAGACGAGCGCCCTACTGAGAACAAAGAACCTTTGATGAATTATCGTGTTCACTTTTCTAGCAAATATTTTCAAAACAATTCACTACACATCAACAAATCCGTTTCTTTTGGAACTTTATTTTTTTTTAATAATTATGCCCCATACCATGACTTTATTAGTTTTATGCGTAAACGTCGCTTTAATGTAAAACCTAATTGGTGGCCTACAGATCAGAAGATGGCTACTTGGTGTGAAACTACAAGATATAGAGTCAGAGAACCTTTTCTGCTGCAAAATTTTCTAAGCGTAGTACTTTTTCATATAATATACAAAAAGTTTGCGAACCCATCGTATTAAAATTTAATATGAAACAAGTTTTAAAAACTTTTTACCTTTACGCTATCCAAGTTGAAACTTACTCGTAAACTTGGCAACAAACGAGGCGCTTAATGTCCCTAAGGTTGCACATCGAACCCGATAGAATTTTCATATGAGGACAAAAGCTGTCACATTAACCCTTGAGCCGCCGCTCCGCTGTGCACAATTGATATACCCCGAGTTGCCAACTCGCATCAAAATGTAAATGAGGGGTATTGTAGTGGTGACATTTTGCCGTTGTTCTCAATAGAAATTCCTACCTAACCTCCAACGTTCGTCGCATTTATGATATAGCGCATCTTATAACGCTTGGTTTACCGAGCTAATGCAAAATGTCTTTTAAAAATAAGAATAATCAAGATAATTACAATTAATGTTTTCTCATAGGTCTGTATACTGATGACTCAACCTTTAAGGTGCATTAATGAATTAGCTACCGAAATCTGTATTTAACAAAATTAAAATAGTAGACAAGTATACTAACATCAAGAACAACAACTAGCTAAGCTTTTTATGTAATTCAATTCTAAATACTAAAAGAATTCTACTTTAGAAGTACCACATCACGTTAAAAGTTTTATATCATTTCAAAATATATCAGAAACTTGACTCGTACAGCACCAATACTTTCGAACAAACAAATTTAACAAAATAAATGTAAACATCACAAAATATCAAGTACGCTGGCATTCAAGCATCAAACTTTTTAATGTTTAATGCTTCCGATACATAAAAGTAGCAAAAGATATTGATGCGGCGGCGACACGAAAACATTTCGACGGGGACGATGCCATCGATGGACAATAAAGGCCTTTTGAACGATAAACACTGATCTGCGAGTTCAACGACACATCGCAAACAGAAGTTTGGCGCGTAGCCAATGTACCTGGCCCCAGGGGAATGCCTTGAGGGACTCCGTGTGGGCTCACGTTCGCCGCGATGTGATAAAGGCTTAACAAATTGCGCCTAACTTCGGAGCACACGTCGCCGAATGTGAGCAGTAAATAGTTCCATGTTTACCGGCAAAGTTTTAACTTCTCACTTGACTTTCGACTGACGGTGGCGTAATGGTTGCGTTTTCATTGTGCCGCGGCCCGCCGGCGCGGCGCCACGCCATGGAGACGCGCACTCGCCTCCATTGTCACCACTTAAATTACTTCCACAATGTTGTTCAGTTGACACTAATCACGTTTGTTTTTGCATAATCGACTTAACATGAACTTGTGAAACTTATGAACTGTTAAATAGATTCGATATTTTTTCAAACAAATAAAACAACCAAATAGCAATAATAAGACAATAAAAAGCTACCTATAATTCATATTTCGATGAATATATCTGTAAAACTATTGAAGTGCTCGTATGCTGATATTAATTAAGTTTCGTAAATTATGAAATAATTTTCATAAAAAAATAAACCTTTAAAGAAATTTTTCGTATGTCAAAACAAAATGCGACGTAAACAATGCTTACTCAATAATCAGTAGAAAAGACAAAGAAAGTAGCGGTACTTTTTGTGCAGTGATCGCGCGGTGCATTTACAAACTCGCTCGCTCGCTGCGAACTTTATACGGACAAGTTTAAAATGAAGGATTGGAAAATTCGAGGCACAGACGCCGGGTATTATTGAATTTCAGCAACTTAACCACCTTTGATTATCAGAACGCGTTCACCTCGCGCTGCAGAACTTTCCATTTTGGTCACAAATCTTTTTGTTGCGTCAGCTGTTGCATTTTAGATTTTCCTCTATATTAGTTCTTATTAAATGTGTGCAAATGGTGGAAAATAAAATAACAGTTACCTTAGTTATTTTGCCTAACAATACACATTAAAGAAATGGATGAAACATCGTGGAATGAAGGCCTCATGAGACGACATATGTCTTTATTGAAGTTGTACAAAAGAACCCCAAAACATTTAGTTGTCAACTGAACACGATCATTCGTCAAAAGTTCTTTGCCGTCTGTTAACTTGGTCTCGGGACAGAAGTGTCTCGTGCGTTTGACACGCGTCATTCTAACTTAACATATTTCTGGTCGAGTTTTAGGAGTATTAAGAAAAATAAATTATTGTATAATACTATTTTTGTATCATTGATAGTTAATTTTGTAAATTAATCCATTTTGGTTTAACATTTATCTTAATGAAATTTACTTAGATGTGAGTAACGCGTGATCAAGAAAATACAATCCAAGCGTTGCAAACTATAGTCAAAACAATTCAATCGAACTGGCAACTTAAACATCATAAATGACAATTGCGAATAAAAATAAAAACTCAAGGATGTAGAAACGGTCAAGTAGCGAACTTGGCCAGTTATAATACTTCCGATACATAAAACTATCGAATAATTTGCTAGCGACGCGAAAACATTTCAATAGCAGCCCCTATTCTACGGCTACACAATAAAGGCCTTTCGGACGATAAAAACTGATCAGCAAGTTAACGTTGGAAAAACACATTCTTGGCTCCCAGCCAAGTTACCTGAGTAACACGACGTAACTAAGGCCGGGACAGACTGAGTGCACTCACGAATTTTCGATGCGAAAAAGCTAAAGCAAATTAAATCTGCAACTAAAAGCTAAAAGGAACTAAATTTGTCCCAACACTAGTAGTGAGCAACGTTAGAAGTGTCTACGTATCTTTTATAAAACTGTTTTTTTTCTATATTGAGAACGAATCTCCATAATATCCTTGACCTTGACTTGATTAAAATGGATAATATGAAATTAATTAAAAAAAAATTGTAGCTCTTTTATAAAATACTAAACGAAAAATAGAGAAATAAAGATAATGAGTTTATGAAAAAAGCACAAAACCGGATTTCGCTGCAGAATCCCCCTTGTGTTGTGCTCTACACTTTTGTTGTTTCCTGCTCGGCCTACTGTCGGATGTTGTCTGTATTTTTGCAGCTGCCGACGATGTAAACAGATCCCTGTCTTAAGAACGGCTACTAATTTATTTGAGGCGCCTATCAGAAACGGTTTTTAGAACAATTTTTAATCCGGCAAAATATAACGGATGAAAGACTGTCTTGTGCAAACGGCTCTTAGGCGCTGCAAAAAACATACAAAATAAAACACATCCGTGCAATATGAATATAAAAAAGCACTCTAAATAGAGATAGGTAGAGAATATGAATGCTCGTATATCATCGGCTTGATATATCTTTGTTTTTCCTCTTTTATTCACGCACATGTGTTTGTTAGTTTTGGATTTTTTTCTTCACATGTTAATTTATCTTCGTTGAGAACTACTATTATAAATTTGATCCATCAATGCAATGTCTCATTTATAATTACCTGACATAAGGTCGATTGTTACATAGACCGATAACCAATGAAAAATTTATTGTTGTGAGTTTTGTAACGATTGTAATAATTTTAACGCCTTACAGTGGGTTTCTGAGACTAAAATCCCCAATTAAAATATATTGTCTTTTCAGATGACTATATTGTTTGATAGAAATTTCGGTTAGAAACAAACGGTTAGTGGTCATAATATAGAGCTAGAGTAGAGGATATTTAATATTTCTGACTGATTTAATCATGTACCCTAGTCGCAGGCTTTGTGTAATCCTATCCTCATAAGCGAGACCCATCAGTCGTCATTACGCGGACACGGCTCCCTCTGCCCCATGTCCCTCTCCCCTTGCCTGTCCCCTCCCCTGCCCTCACCTGAGGGGACCAAGATTGATATGGTACCCGCCGCAGAAACCACTGCGCTCTGACAGGTTGTTATTGAAAAATTGAGCGATAATCCCGCTGCGCCGCCATGTTGTTTAAGATTTTTTTTCTTTTCATGTTCACCGCCCAAAATTTTACAGAGCTTTATTCCCAGGGCTTTTAGTGACGGATGGATATTGAGTGGGATTTCGGTTTACGCGTCCGCGAACAATGTAGACTATCTAGAAAAGTTTTAGCTTCTATTAAAATTTCATCTGTTATCAATATAGAAAACCCCTCGATGTTAACTTTTGTTAGATTCAATATTTATGTTATACTGTATATAACACAAACTGAAGATATTCAACTTATGACTTAATTTTTTTTATTTTTTACTGAGATTTTCATTCGTTTGTTGCAGGCTGTGCATTCGTTAAGTTCAGCTCACATCAAGAGGCGCAGGCAGCAATCACCAGCCTGCACGGGAGTCAAACTATGCCGGTAAGCTTCGAACTAGGCTATAATGGACGCCAAACGCCATATAAATTATAGTATCAAATATAAACTCTGTGTTAAACCAATTATTTACTACAAAGGAAAACCTTAAGCATTTTTTAGTAATATGTACAATTTAAACTATTGTTATATTTCAAAGGTGTGGTGTATGGTATTAAGAATCGAAGTATACGTAAACTCCACTAAAAGTTCAAATACTTGAAACTTTGCAGTTCTCAGGTACAGACGTCACTTAGAACATTCCAAACATTATCACTTAGCGACGCGATCCATGTCGCAATTGAAACTTCAGGTCGACGGTAAGTTAGCGACGGCACTGAAAGTGATTCGGCTTTCAGGACAGACTTCAGGCATTCCAGACGGTGCTCCTAATTTAGTTAGAACACGAACGTACTCAAGTAAATAGCAAAAATAGAATCGTTAGAAATATACTGAATTATTAAAATTGGTATAACTTATAAATCTAAAAATAAATTTAAGAAACTTACTATTTTTTTAGGTTATTTTTAATTGTAAATATAAATACTTCTTTTTATAAAATCTTTCTCACTATCAGTCTTGTCTCATATTTAGTACCAAGTTATCGAGTTGTACCGCAGAGCTAAACAATATTTTCAGTAAACACTGCGAAGTTACATTGTGAATGTCAACACCGGCGGCGGTCGACTTGTGTTCCATTCGAGTGCGTGTTTGCGAGCTGCGGGCAGACAGACAAATATTTAAGTGCGTTAGTTAAACACGGGTGTAGCGCGCTGTTTGCGACTGTACGGCAATGTCGCTACGATGTTTTTATTGGTGTCTGTACACAGACTATGATGGATACGTTTTATTTGCTCGCTTTGTGTTACGCTGTTTGTTCCGTGAATCAATCAGTTGCGCTTTTTATAATTTTATTACTCGTTGTATTTATTTTGTTATGTTGGTAACAAAATTAATAAAACAGATTATTGTTTATAATAAACATATCATTACATCCAAAGACATAGGTAGATATGACGGAACTTTATTTGTCGCTGTCTAAATGCATCTCAGATCTCTTTATTGTTATTTAAATATATTAAAATATCTTACTTTACTTCACACTATAAGAAGGCTTTAGTTGGGTCGTTTGAGTTTGCAGCAAGCCTCTACAATGGCATAGCCCTCCAGCTATCATCGTCTGAATATATTGTCCAATCTACATTAGAAAGCCCAAGCGACATTGCTTGAAATTAAATAAACTAACGGCCATTTGCATGAAGAATGTCGAAGGTGCATTACAGCTAAAGAATTCAAGATCTATTATCATAACAAAGTGTTCCTAGAATAGACTCGAAGTATTGTCTGACCGCAGACGTGATTATGGAATTGAATTTACTTGAATTAATAATGAATTTTGTCGGCTGTTTCGACAAACTTAGCATTAGAAAGAAGTAACGACCAATTTTATGATTTCCTTCGACTATTATTGACTAAGGAAAAATATTTTTCAAATAATATTCATGTTAAAAGCTATCTATTTACTATATCATTTTTAACCTCAAAAATATATAATTTTTGTTAATGCTAGTGTTCTACAATATACAAAAAAAACTAGTAAAGGTTATAATTTAAATTTGTACTTATGTAAATATGTAATGAGAAAAAAGTAGTTGAATTGACAATGTACCTGCGGTCGTATAAAGTAGTATGAGGCGGCCGACATACTAATTAAAAGTTAAGCGGCCGACCCGGACTAGTCCGGACTGGACCGGACGGTCAAATTTAGGAGTTTTCGCCGCCCTCAAGTCAGCAGTTGCATGTTTACAGGAGCGACTGCAATTTGTTTGCTGTAGGCTGCTTTTTTTTTCTAGTTAACATGTCGACTGAACGCTGATTCTGCGAAGGGGGACTCGGCAATTTTGTGTTTGTCCTATAAGCTTTTTTGCGTTGATAAGTTTATTGTGAATAGAATTTAAAGTAAATTAAGCTAGAATATAAAGCACTGGATTGTTTGATTTACTTACAACATACTTAGTTGCGGACAAAATTTTCTTACAAGGTATAAAATCCTTTTTTATTTCATTACTTAAGGGCGGCCAAAATAAACCAAATTGTGACAAAAGCAGAAAATTTATAAAAAGATTTGAACAGATTAACAAGTAATCGACTTTCATTGTTAATATAAATCAATCCTCTTCAACTAAGCAATGAACTCGTTCAAAATAAATCATTTCTCGCTCTCAATACTAACAATCCATTTCTAATTGGAGATAGCGGATAGATTCGTAAATAACAAATAAATAGGGACACCTCGCGTTATCGCCTGTCGCGTCCTCGTACAACACGATCAATATTTACTCGAAATACAAGATTACAAGCAATGGAAGATGGGCCAGACAAAAACGTCATTAGGACCGAGTTGAGGGAAAATCCGCTGGGTGGCACAGAACGCCTTTGTCCTCGTGCTTAGCAAAAGGAATTATCGGGGAGGAGGTCGCAGCCGAAATTCTATTCTGATTTCGACGGAATCCCCTCCCCTTCCCAACCCCTCCTCCTACTCGACCTGTCAACACTTCTGATAGTTAATACTTGATGACATATTCACACGTTTGTATACATATTCTATCATTTCGCTTGCTTGAAACTTACTATACATAATTTTGAATAAGTAATATTTTTATTTTGTATACATAATAGTCTGTTCAAAGTATTCATAACCTACTTACCTTTCACGGACACAAAACTAAATATGTACTTACATTTTTATCTTTCATAATTATCTCTTTAATTTTAATTAGTCTGAACTTTTAACAGTCAATACAAAGTAATCCAAAGAATAAAGGAAAATAGGAATATCTTTTGCAAACTTCAATTAAAAAAGGTAATAACCATCATGAAACATAATTCGCATTATTTATTTTACGAAACGCGGAGTTATAAAGAAACAAGATCATTAGGTAGCGTCCACTTTACCGTTTTGTAGATGAAGAAATAAATTAACAGGAAAGTGTTAAAGGCAGTCCCCGGGGCGGCGGCGGCGGCGGCGGCGGCAAAGAGAATACTGCTCTAAACGTTTTCAATTTATTAAAATGTAATAAAATAGAAAAAACCAACAACGTTGACCTTGTTGTTTAAGTTACTTTACAATTGTTTATCGTTGTATTACTAGAGGTAACTCCTGCAAGCTATAAGTTGTACACAATGCACATATTCACATTGTTATAACAAAGGGTTGCCATGATCTAAGATTTAGAAAATAATGTATTTATAATTAATATTATAAAACTAGACTAGTTTTATAGTTTACTAGCCGCCGCCCGCGACTATGCACGGAATTAAAAAAGAACTTAATTAGTAGCCTAAGTTTTCTTCCAGATTCTGTTCAACGTGAATGATAAATTTTAAAGAGATCTGTTAGGTGGTTCTGCAGATACCTCTTAACAAACATTCATCCATCCAAACATTCGCGTTTATAATATTAAATAAGATATCCTATTAGAAATGTACGTAATTCTATATCTGCCTAATGTGCCTAACCCTGGTCAATGAGATAGAAAATTTCTTATGTAACAATTGAATTTATATTTCTATTTATATTCTATACTTACAATTCAATAAGGTTTTATTCTTTATTTAATATATCTATAATCTGTATTGTTGTAATTGGGTGATTCCGTCAAGATGTTTGACTCTCTTATTAAAGGATTTTTTTTCTATACCCCGGTGGGGTCACGTAAGGGCCGAGCCAACAAAGAGCAGCCCCGTCGCCCTCATCTGCGATAGTTTATGGAGAACGGGCTCTCTTGGATAACTATAAACTTGTCTTCTTTAGTAATATGCCTTTGTTGTATTATTATTAGAAAACTTTACCATTTCTATACCATGGCTTTTTATATTATTATTCAATTAATTAAATTTTTATTTTGAAAGTGTAACATGGAAAGTAAACACAAGTGGAAAAAACGTAGTGAAAGGTACAGCTTAGAAATTTAATTGAATTATATTCGTGATTTTTTTTTGAGAAGAGAGCGTCGGTGGCTCAGGGGTCGAATCCTGCCATATACCAATGTGTTTTTCGATTTCCGATTTACATATGTACATTTATCCGACGTTCTTATGGTGAAGGAAAACATCATGATGCAACCTGCACATATCTGAGAAGAAATTCAAAGATATGTGTGAAGTCAACCGACCCACACTTAACCAGCGTGGTTGACTATGGCCTAGTCACCCCTAACTTAGGGTAGCCCCTCAGTGCGGACGTATAGTGAGTTAATAAAAAAAAATCTTGATTAATTGAAAATAAGAAACAAATATAACTTAGGTGTTAAAATTGTTGGTTACAATAATCGACTCTTTAATTATCTCTATGTTAGAAATAGAAAAGAAAAATGTTTTAAAAGGTAGCATTATAAAAGTGCTCCATCCAACCATCGTAACATTTTGTAGTTAACATAAAATATGACCACGTAAGTTGTGTACACCATAAATAAATCTCAATTAGTATAATGTATGCAAATGTGTTTAAGTACACCCGCCGTGTTACACGAACATTCACTTGTTTTACATTATATTTTCTATTTGCAACTTAAATGAATAAGACAATTGAATTAAAAGATAGAGTTAATTTACAAATATTTTACGAAATAAAATGGTTATTTAAAAATACATAAATTCATTTAATTGAAAATAAATTAAGACATAAAGACGAAAATTAGTATTTCTTAAAAAATCGAACCTTCGTGGAAATGGCTCTATCGCTTCTACTTCTTTGTCGCTGCAGTTTTTTCAGACTAATCATGGTCATCATTGTACCCATCAGTGACCCATTGGAAGGCTACCAATTACCTGTACGTGGAGATAAAAAGTACTTACTATATTGTTTTTTTTTAAATGGACACATCGTTCCAATTTAATCCTGTACACTAACTACCACACATAGCCTTCAAACATAATCACCTAACTCGCGACAAATAATTTGAATTTAGCAAAGCTTTCCTGAAAGTAAGTCAACGAAACTTCCA